GTTGTTGTCGTAGTCGTCTTCGTCGTCGTCGTCGTCGTCGTCGTCGTCGTTGTTGTTGTTAGGATGATGGTGGTTACAGTACTAGATCTAGTAGCAATTATAGCACTTGCAGTAGAAAAAGCACCGGCGTCTGTGGTGCAGCGGTTAGGCGCTTCGCTGTCGCACACACAATAAGTTCGAGTCCCGAGTGATGGGGAGAACGACATTGTATGTATTGTCTCGGTCTTTCATCTGGGATGATATAATATCTCTCTCAGCCTAACAACAGGCAGGGTGGGAAGCCCGCCTATATGATCTTAAGTTTGTCGAGGGTAGCGTAAAAACACCTTCATTTAACATTTAACAGGTAGAAACAGCAGTGGCAGTTGCAAGAGTAACAGCAGAAGCAGCAGCGGCAGGCAAGAGTTTCATACGTGACGAAATGACTTGACAGTTGTCTTGAGACGATTGTTTCTGCGTCGTTGCAATGGGGTAGATACATAATAATGTAACTATGCCACGCCAGAGGAACTATCGACTGTAGGAAACCCCGAAGAAAATCTTTCCAATCTCTATGGGCCGGAGGAGACGTCCCTCGATTGCTGCCTTCATTAAACATTAACTAAGGCCTTAATTAAAACCTTGTGCCGCTTCCTTGTCGGTCTGGAAGAGTCACGGAAGGGGCTGTAGTGTGTGTTACGGAGTAGAACGTGTGTTACTTTTTTTTTAATTTAGAAAGAGTTTTACGGCATTTGCAACACAATGTGGTCATATAAGGGCCGAAGATCAAATGTGATACTAGAGAGTATCATACAAAGAGAAGAAGGGGGGGGGGCGGATTCGAGAGATTGAGGAGATAGAAAAGAAGGAGTAAAACACACCAGAACACCCAATCAACCACTCACAGCTTTTGTTTCTTTGTCTTAATTTCTACAAACCACATTGACTTGATGAAAGTTTGCAGAAAGACGAGGCTTCAAGGCCTATGAATTATATTTTTTAACGAAGTTCAAGTAACAAAAATGAAAACGAAAGAAAGGAAGGAAGGAAGGAAGAAATCCTGTAGTTTTCTAGCTTCCATCGTAGCGCCACAGTTCTCTAAAAGAATCATGTCAGCATCTTCATGTTCACAAACCCTGTTGTTGTTTGGGTTGTTGTTGTTCTTTTTGGGGTGGGTTGGGGTG